GAAAAAAATGAAATTACAAACATATTTTCAATATCTTTCATTTTCTATATTTGAAGCTATTCGTTGTGTTTTTTTTCTAACTTTTTTTATCAAATATGTCAATAGTTTTATGATTAAAAGTTTTGAAATTTTTTATATTTTTTAAATAAGGAAGGATTGTTGAAAGGTATTACTAAAACACAGAATGTACCTATGGAATAATTCAAGTTCAGAATAATGCAGATTACAAAAGAAATTTCTACAATTACAATATAACAAAGTTCACTGTTTATGCTCAATTCAAATTTATTTTTAAAATCTTCAGAAAAAGTAACATTAAAAACTTTGTTAGGAAATGTTACCCTCCCATCATTGCAGCTCTCCCTAAACCACAATTGAACATGCAGTCATCATTTGCTTTTCCAACAGTATCACTACACACAGCTTCACAGGGAACACGCTGCAAACAAAGTTTAAATTTTCATCAGTAATAACTAAAATAACTTACTTTTTCCAACAACCCTTTCTTATTCAACTCATCCTCAAACACACTGTTGAATTGCTCTCTTTTTTCCAGTTCTTTTAAAATTGATCTCAAACTGCTTCCTGATGATGGAAATGAAAAAACATGAAGTGAAAGGCAACAAATGAAACAAAGAATTAGAAGTTTCTTTTCCATTTTATCAGACTCCAAAATTATTTTCTTTTGGAAGCAAAAACAAGATTTTAAATAACATTTTCCTTTATGTTATCTACAGTTTTATAGTTTTTGAATAGTGTAGTTACTAAACTAGTTCTAAACAGATACGACAGAAAACATCCCCAAATTCATGGTTTAACCCTAACCCTAACCTAGCCCTTGTCTCTCTCTAACCTTTTTGATTACCCCTAACCCTTAGATGGAACCCCCCTAACTACAAATCAACAGCTACTTTACTCCTGCTAACCATTTTTCAATCCGAAATCTTGCTTTCAAAAATCTCATTTGGGGATGTTTTCTGTTATTCTGTCATTTATGATTAGTAAGAGCTGTGATGGAGATATTAACTGCTTTGATAAATCAGGCAGGCTTGTTTTTGCAGTGACACATGTTAGCCAGAAGTGATGCAATAGTTTTTCATGTCTTTGTTATGGTTAGGGGTGCGAACGTACCTGGGTGCGAATGTACCCAGGTATGTTCACACCCTCTCTCCTCTTTCATTTCTTTATTGATTTTTCATCAAATGGTTTGGTTCCAGAGGTGTACACATGTTATACTGTTGATTAGATTTTGTAAATACACAGTTGAATATGAACTGAAAGATATGTATTTAAACAGCTAAACAAACACTAAATTCTAATACTAAAGAACAAGATAAGTTAAAAAATGATGTTTATGCTGGAGAGTAGATATGAGATGTCTGCATCAATAAATCAATTGATGTCAATTTGCTCAACTTGAAATCAATTTTGAAAGTACCATCAATATACCAGTAGTTGGATTTGGATAATAAGTTCAGCTGATGGTTTGTTGCAAAAATTAAGATTCTTTCTCCATTTTCACAAATGTCTTTCTGGAGAAATTCATCAGGTAAAAAAGTTGTGTTCAAGTTGAAGTTATACACTTTTGGTTCAACTGGCCTGAATTTTTGTCTGTTTGAGTTTGCCATCCTTTTTAAGTAATTGATATCAGGAAGACATTTAGCATTAGGTTCATATGATAATAGAACTTTTTCAGCAATGCTTCTTCCAGATGCTTTGTTTGCAAATAGTTTTTACATCAGTTTTTACTTTAACATCTACTTCCAAATTAGGTTTTCTGTTGTAATTATGTTCCAGATTGCCTTTAATAAATATACTTCCATTTTGTCTTATTCTAGCTACACATCTTTTTTTCTTACTTCTCACACTGCATACCCAAATTGTTGTTGTAAGTGTTTTATGTTTAACAACAAAAGAATATCCATCATTCAATAAAATGTCATGTCCTTTTCTGCTTCCTCCTTGTACAATCTCAAAAACTTGCTTGTTTAGAACTAAAACTCATTATACTCAATACATACTCTTTGCACGAAATACTGGCGGTTCATTGATTAATTTTTGCCGGAATTGCGTTTGTTGAGACTACCTGTGGGACGAACTTGAAAGGTTCTATTTGGACCAGTACTTTGGTTTATTGGTAAATGATTGGTGAGGACGAATTCAATCATAACGAACTCGAGATTCCTACAATTACCGTACAATGCAGTACAAATATATTACTTGGATTTTTCTGAAAACTGCTTGTGTCCAATGGAAAACACATCCTTGAATTGGGACATTAGGATAAACAGATGATAAAGCAGTCCATAATCCTAACTCATAATCAGCAAAGAACTTTTTTGGTTTGGAATAATTTGTATGTTTTACAATTAAAGTTATTTTAATATTTAAATATAGGATATTAAAAAGAAGAGCATATTTCTTAACTCTGTCTATTATAGATATTATTTCGTGTTTCTACTATTCTCTTATTGTATGTCGTAGATTGTTTAAACTTGCACAACTATTTTATCAATTATTTAAATTTACATTTATTCCAATTCATATATCAACAATTTCACTTAATCTTGTTTATTTGATTATGAGTAGTTTATGCAAGTATAGTAGAATAAATGAAGTAATCAATTATAGTATTTCTTTTCTTTTTCTCCTTTCAGTATTAACATTTAAGAATACACCTATAAAAATGTTTGCTATTGTTAAATGGTTCAGTTTGTGGTTATTACCATTTTTATGCTTTTTAACCTCAAGTATTATCACATTTAAAGATATAATTTATGAGATCAAAAAACACAAATGCCAACAAATGTAAAATATCTCATTATTTCTTTTGTTATAGTTTTATAGAAACAATATTTTTGCCATATTTCCATATATGGAAATTTATTTTTTTTTTTAAATATTTAGGGTTATAAGTAAAAATTGTTTTAGACTGAACAAAGAAGACTTATTCATCACAAAATATGTCTATCCAGGTAATGTGATAAAAACAGGCTGTCATTGTTGTTTTTATAATTTAAATGTTTAAATGTCATTTCTGGTATAAAGCTTTATGTTCTTCTTTTAACTTCTTAGTTTTTCAATGTCTACAAGAATTTGATTGTCAATCTATTAAATTTTTAAAGAAAAATAATTCTGCTCTAGCAATTTTAATTGAATTTAAATCTTATACAAAATTTTTAAACATTTTACATTCTAAACAATGTTTTCTCAGTCTTAATATTAATAAAGAGTATTTTCTTGAATTGGCAAGTATTTAATAAATATTTATTATCCTAGATTGAGAGAAAATGTATAAGCAAGATAAAGCTTGGCTATCCTTTTAATAGTTGGGGAAATTGAAATCACTTGATGAACAAAAAGAAGACAAATTTACCACTTGATCAGGTTAATAGGGTTGGTAATAAAATCCAAAAATTGCAACATTTTCTCCCATGATACCCATTTATTCATTCGATAAAATAATTTTTTCTATTATTTGTATTCATTCGAGTTATTTATTGATAGAAAAATACAAATATCACAAATAAACTTTTACTACAAAGTAATCCAACTGAGGCTAAAGAAATTACTAAAGATATTGGTTCAATTTTAAGAAAATTTTTGCAATCTTATCATATATTGTCGAAAACAGGAAACTAGTCTCTTCTTTTATTTATCTTTATCAATACAGTTTAAAAATATCATTGATATAACTTTTATTATTTTCTAAAGCCTTGACATTTGGGTAAGGATCTAACTCTTTTAATTCTAATGATGGTTCTTGAAAGAGAATTCATATTCTTTCTTTTGATTAAAAATGTTTGGATTAAAGACACAAAGTGCACGATGTACACTTTATAAACAGGATGACACAAATTTCTAGACAAACATTTGTCTTTTTGCTTGTTTGCCATACATAATAAACTCTAAACTGTTGATTGTATAAGATTTATTATTCACTTATATCACAGAATTGCGGACAATTCCGTCTAAATTATATTCTTAGGCATTCGTTGTTTTCTCACACTGTTCTGACATATTCACACTCTTTTATACCTTGGTGGCGTCACTTAACTAGATGCTTTACTTTGCTCATTTGTGGTGCCACGTTCGCGCCACGGTGTGGCTCCCGTGATGTGGCACCGAGTCAATGGGACCGTTCTGGCTTTGGCCAAGTCAAGCTAACCCTTTAAGTGACGCCGACTTACACTGACACACACTGATATACATACTAATATACACTCGCTGACTCAAACTAACACATAATCTATAACATTCTGTTCAGATTTCATTACTCATTGTATTATGATTCTACTTAGCTAAGTTCTCTTTCTTAGAATTAGAACAGCATAGATTCCATTAAATAAAACTATTAAATGAATTTGTTTAGTCTGAATGATTTATTCAAAAGTGAATGCTTAAGCAAGCAGTTATTCAAGTAGATGTCACGTGACCAAATTTTAGCTATAGCGAATAGGAAGTCATTGGACAAAAGAATTGCTGATGACATTGTTGTATTATTCTTCAATTAATGCTTTTCGACTATATCTTTTACAATCAGTGAATTAGATGTGATAGGATAATTGAAACAACTCTACTAAAAGTTCTGTTGCAGCATATCAAGACCTCTTCTCTTCCCCGTGCCCAATCTATTTCATTATCGCTGACCCTAGGTTTTTTCTTTCTCATAACCCGCATAACCTAAACGCTAGTCAAAGTTAAGGTTCATAAAAACCTGTCAGCCCCATTTTTAGGCATGTTATCACCCCAAATTAAAACCATATTACCTTCAAAGGAATTATGCTATTTGAAAGCTTCAAAGAGGTGTATAATTACAAAAGGTGTTGTAATTTCCCTTATTATATATTGAAATGGTGGTCACAACAGCATTATAAAGAAAAGACACTCATTACATTTTCTATGTTAAGCTCAAGATATTGTCTGATGAAAATAGGTTGACTAATTGGATATGTAGAATTTAAGTATATAATGAACAACATTCAAAATTTTCAACTAAGCTATTCAAGTGAATATAAATGAACTTGTTGAAAACAGTTCATTATCTCACCAAAATGGTAGAAATCAATATAGTAACCACAATTTTGACATGTTAAAAATACACTTTTTCCGTAATCGATATCTCCATCCTCATTGGACAATTTCAAAGGTTGGAAAAGTCCCATTACATTTGCATTCAATTCATTCCTTGAAAGAATGATAATGTCAGATTGAGTAATATTTTCACCAATCAATTCAGCAAGGCACATTTTTCCAATCAATTCGTTATGATTAACGAGAGTGAGAGAAACTCCTGGTGAAGGTGATTTAGTTTGGCATTGATGAGTCATATCTTGAATATTATCTATTTAAAAAGAAATTCTTTTATTAATATATAGGCTTAATACATTTTTTTATTTACAATTTCTCGATGCAATTGATTCAGCAAAACATTGAATTTCAGTTAAATGCATTAGAATTTTTGATATAAATGTAAAGTATTTTGTAAAGGCTGTCTTGAATTTAGTACAAATTGTATGATCATACAGAAATGATCCTTTAACTTGAGTAGTAATCTCTTCATTTCTAAAGTGATCGAAAACTATTAAACTACTGTCTATGTCTTTGTAACTTGAGATTGTTACTGCAAAAGATAAGTGAAGGAAATTAAAGAAGAGCAGAAAAGAGAATGATGTATACTCAACTTGATAAGCAAATGGTATTTAAATGAATCAGTTTAGTTGATACTGTGAGTATGTTATTTGTATTTAATTGAATAAAAGGGTTCGTATCGTATAGAAGATTGTCATAGAATATCTTGTATGCAGCTTCTGTTAGGCTAACATTATTTCTTTTTACTACTGTATAGGATTGTTGACGTTGAAGAGCTGACTCTAACAAAGAGAGAGAGAGAGAGAGAGAATGGATAAGGGATTATTAAATTTTTAACAAATTTACCATATTGCTCAGATTTATCAAATTTCTTAGCATAAATATAGATTTCTGTCAATGCTAATGCAAGTTTGATACTATCAGAGTCTGGACGTTGGCTAATAAGTAAATAATTTCCGGAGTAAATATCATCACACCACATTACTATTGCAGTATATGGCCGATGATTGGGAGATGTAACGTTCTTTTTACACATTAAATTATTTGGGTCATAATACGTGTCTGGAATTGATTTTACAGTAATGTAAACATTCTTTAAATGTAGATCTAAAAAGAAGAAATTATTGTTATTTAGAAAAGAGAATTGTAAAAAAAAAGAGAAGTTTGTTATACTGCTTTCTTCAATTCTAATCAGAATTACTCCATAAAATGAAAATATTTCTTCAAATTTCATCAACAGGAATGGTTTAATATACATTCCATTTGTAATTCTTGTTGAAAATGTTGTAGAAAAATCCCTATCTATACTGAATGCTTTTTGTTTATTTGTCTCTTCTTTACCAGATATTAGATTGACATTACTAAGGTCGAGTTGTTGGAAATCTGATCAAAAAAATAAACTGGTATTGGATTTATGGATGAGTTTAACTAGTTTTTGTTTGTTTATTACCTCTATCCCTAATGAATTTTCCTTCAACAATAATGTCACAAAGCATTATTGCAGAGTTGACAACGGTCTTTTTTAGCAAAACAAATGAACCAACAGCATTGTCAGCGCAAGTTAAACATTCGTATTCCGAAAAGGATGTTGAGGTTGATTTTTCTATAGGTGGAATAACTCTTGCACAAAAGTTGTTGCCTACTTCTGTTACATTGCCCACAGTGATTTCAAAATTGTTTAAATAGTTACTATTCATCCCATTTAGAAGGCAAACTCTTTCCACTTTGTAAATATTTTCAAGGTCAACTGCAAACCAGGAAAATTCATCAACAGTTGAATGAGTTTTAGCACATTCGTAACCACTCTGAAAAGACAAAAATGAAAAGTGAAGGAATTAACAATGAACAAAAATTGTTTAAAATCTACCACTCCATCATCAATAACAATATTTGAATCAGTTGCAAAATTAGCTAATTTATGATTAATATGGAATGTTGTTGAACTTTGAAAAGCTTCCTTTCCTCTCGCAATATTTTCCAAAGTATAAATATTCTTTACAAGCATAGCTGAAGAAAAGAATAATGAATACTTTCATTCTGTGACAGTTTTCAACTAACCAACTAAAATTACTAAGAACTTGTCCATTTCTTTAAGAGAAAGAGAGAGAGAGAGAGAGAGAGAGAGAGCTGTAACTAACTAACTGCATGTTCCAGTTTACTTTACATATATTTAAAAACAATTGTTCCATAAATTAATAAACATTTCTCTTTGATACTCAATTAAAACTATAAAAGAGAAAAAAGTTTGTCTAGTTTACTTAACCTTCTTCTATTATATTTTACAGAATGTTTACACAACTAAAATGTTTGAAAAAATCAATGTGGATAATTAGTTCATTTGTTTCTTGTAACAGAAGGTCAACATAGAAATTATTAGCATATATCTTTAAGATAGGGAAAATTATAATCTTTTTATTTTCAGACTATGTTAGGCTCAAACCAATTCTTTATGTTTTAACAAGTACAGGTTCATTCAGATGCTATTCTAGATTGAGAGGTGTAAATTTTATGAGTTGTAACTAAACTGTTGTTTTACATGGTGACCTAATTGGTCAACATATGGTGAAGCAATCAGGACCAACAATGACCTGGAAGGATGGTACAACAGATTAAACAGGAATATTCATGCAAATTCTTCATTGTATGTTATCATTGAAGAGAGAAGCAGAGTTGATTACACTTTATAAGAAATTATTAAGTCTTTAAATAATCATGATTTGACTATTGCTCTAGATGGAGTGTACATTCAGGATCAAAAATATCAAGACTGGCATTCTACAAGAAAAACAATTCAAATTGCAGATTTTACTGTGACTCTAGCACATGGAGAATAATATATTTTTGGTTGGAATAAAGAAAGGGAACCACTCTAAGCCAGAATTTTTCTCAGTAAAAAAATCAAACAAGCTTGTAATTGGAGAATTTTTAGATATTATCTTTCAAACACAATTTAGAAACGAGAAAAATGGAGGATTACTTGGTATCATTCACCAAAAAAATTTCCATATCTTTGAGAATGTTCAAGACAGCATAAATGATATGGACTCTTCTGTCATAGTAAATAATAGACTGGTTCATTCAAAGATAGTAAAGAGATATAATAACGATTGTTGGCTAATTGATGTAAATGATATCCTCTTCCCTGAAAAATTCAACAATTATCTTGAATAAAAACCTTTTTTTAAAATGGTAGACCTAATTCAATACTATTTAATACAAATGTTTAACAATAGCATTGTGGTTGAGATTTCTAAATAATAGTTGAATTTTGAATATTGGAAAATTGTATAAGATGTAAAGTTTTTTGTTAGGCAAGTAAAACAATGAAGAAAACATTATATACCATCCCATTGATTTAGCTAAATTTGCTAGTTGTCTAATATGTACAAAACTACCTTTTATTGTTAAAAAAATGTCTGAGAATTATGAAAATTTAATTGTAAATAAATTCAGTGTTTAAAGATATTCTTCTGATTTTTGCTTAAGTAAAACATTTAGTTTGAAAACAGCAACAATTAACATTTACAATATTAATAGAAAATTATTTAAATAGAAAGATAAAGAGAAAGGGAGAGCTCTTCTTTAATTGTTCTTTTTTTTTATTGATAAAAATATATTGATAATAAAATAATGCTATAGATCATATCAACAAATGAATGAATTTACTGTACACTAACATTGGTCAGCTATATTCTACAATAGATAAGTAGTATGGAACTAGATTAGCAGGCTTGACAGGCTGGTGTTTTGTTGATTAATTTCTACCAAAATTACATTTATTGAGACTATTTGTGAATCAATTTTAAAGTTTCTATTTGTTTGAGCACTTTGGTGAATTGTTAAATGATTGAAAAGAATAATTATTGTTATGACAAACCAGAAATTCCTAATCTTAAAAATCTTTAATGAAATTATACACTATGGCCATTTTTGACTGGTCCCGTAAAATTGGTACATCTTACTTCCTGTTTCAGTGAAAAATTTCTTAGCAAAAAATTCTCGACAAATTCCTAAAAATGGACTTTTATAAATAAAAAGATTTGGAAAAAAGGCAGCTTCATCCAAACTTTTGTGTACTAATTACTCAATTAAACAGATTGAATAACTTTTTATTTAAATTATCAAGCATTGCCAATTGACATTTTCATTTTATACTAAATTTTATACAATATTAACATCTATAGATAGATAGATCTAATATTTAAATTATCAATGAATATGCTTGATTGTTTCAATTTCCTTTACAAACACAATTCCCGTAGTTTGGTGTCGACTTTCCCACTCATTCATTATTTGACAAAGCACACAACAAGGGCAACAATGAGCTGCACAGCAATCTCCACATATGCTTCCAGGAATATTGTATTTTCCTCGAATGTAAGATCTCATAGCTGCTAATGTTGGTGAGAAACAGGAAATACAACATAGTAAACCCTCATTCATTCTACAGGTGACATGTATTGCGTAACATTCAAAGCAGCATGCTGCAGCTAAACCTAAAGGAAACAAAAAAAAATTTTTTTGTATTTAAAAATTTGCTTTCTTTGTCAAACTTTACATCCAGAAACATTATTGAAACAACTGCATAAACTATTAATCCAAGTTTCTTGAACAACTAAACCTCTTTCTCTAATCTATAAAAAAAGTTTTGGAAATTTTAAAAAAAAAAAGAAAATTTCACTTTATAAAAGAAAGAATAAAAAATTTACCTCCATTATTCAAAAAAGTTGGAATGTAGTTTAAAAAGTTTCTTTTCTCATTTCAACATTTAAAGAACCAAAATGAAAGTAGAAATATGAAAAGGCCTATTTTTATATGTTGTAAAAAATTTTCTTCTTCAAATCTACTTTTACAATCAGTTGGAGAGTTTTATATATTCATTTACTGTTCACTTAATGCCTAAATGATCAAGAAGTAAAAATCTGACAAGTATCAATCTTTTTTGAAAGTAAAATTTTAAATTTTATTTTTAAACTGTTAAAAAGAATGTACTCAATCAATATTGTAAAGTTGACAACTAATGTTAAAGATTTAAAGCCACTGTTGTTAAACTATCAGTTTTCAATACTTGTAATTGCTGATAATAATTTAATATAGCTGTAAAGGAATCACAAATATATGGATTAAAAGTTTTAGAAAAAGATGAGTGAATGTTGGAGAATTGCATAAGATTTAGAAATTTTAATGCAATAATTCAAGTAATTGAGAAATGATATCATTTTAATTTAATAAGTTTTATAGATTAATTAACTGTAAATAATTCAAATGACAGCACAAGAAATTAGGTTACTAGTTTTTTATTATCTTTATCTTTAAAAGTGCTATTAACACATCACAATAATTGATCAATAATACTTTATCTATTGTAGAATATATAGCTGATCAATATAAGAGCAGTAAAAAGATTAAGGATAACAAATTAATGTTCATCTTCTTTTCTCTTTTGTAGAAAAAAAAATAATCTCTTGTTAGATTTTGCATACATTTTAAATGGTAATTCAAAGTCATATTCTATGTAGATTGATTCACCAGAAATTGTATTCATCTTGAAACTGTTTCAATATTCCTTTCTTTACTATTTTGTAAATTACACATAGCTAGAATGAATCCTTCAATACAAAGGTTACTTTCAATTGGACAAATATGTTTTGTTTTTTAAAATTTAAAAACTTTTTTTACTATATTTTTTAGCAAATGTAATAAAATTGATAGAATTTTCTTCCTGTTTAGGAAAGATGGCTCAATTGTTGGGTACATTCTAAATTTGAAGTAATAGTCTTAAAAAACATTTCTTGTTTTAATGTCAAACACAATTGTTTTTGAAAATTACTTTCATGATATTGCTCGAAAACTAGTTACACATTTCCATGAAAATCTAGAAAAGAAGGTATAAAAAAATATTTTTTTTTGACCTTGACATTAAAAGAAAATTTACTATACTTACTATCTTTCAAATGATATAAAAAATCTTTTAAGAATATTCCCTTACAGTTTATGGAGAAAATGTCCACAAGAGAAAATGTAATTCATAATTGATACTTCCTTTGCTCTTTGTTTGTGCCAATCTGTAGGTGTTATTGTATCAATAATTTGGATTAGGTTAAGAAAGGCTGCAATTGAAAAAGGCTGCAACTGATTAAAAAAGGCTTCAGGCTTACCAAATATGCTGAATTTCAAATAGATTTCATAATGTTTCTACCAGTTTTTTCTATTTAAATAGAATGTTTTACACTGTACTATAACAACAAGTGTGGTCACATATATGTAAAAAGTTTGAATTATTTTTATTATATGTTATATTATTTATCATATGAAGAGAGTAAAGACTTCAATATAAATGCAATGTATTTATTGTACATCATTTTTGCCAGATATACTCTCTAACCTGTGAAGCAAATCATTTTCTTCAGAAGATAATTTCAATATGGCATCTCTCTGTTATGCTTGTAAGAAGAAAATTAATAAACAAAAAAGAGGTGTATGCTCTCTATGTAAGCATACAACTCATTGGGTTTGTTTAAATGGTAAGTTAAATGTTCATATTTTTCAATTTGACACCATTTTTCTTAATATATAGATGGCTTTTGTGAAATTTGCCTGAAAATCAACAACTATTCATTACAAATTGTTTTAAGAAGATGTGATGAAAATACTTTAACAGCAAAACTTCCTAAGAGAATTGATCATCAAGAAATTTTTAGAAATAATCAAGTGGAAGCCACTGCTGATGACATTAATGATCTTTTGATTGCAAATAATGAAAAAGACAAATCTGCCAATGATGGTGAAAGTATTAAGCAAATAGAAGGACCAATAGATAATGTAGTCATTAAAAATACACAAATACCACAAAGAGAAGTTTTTGCTGAAGATGTTACAATGGAGCATTTGAATACAAGAGAGGATTATTTTCCTTTTGATCACAACACAAACCAACCTGAAGACAGCTCATTTGAAGATGTAGATGATGTTGTTCTAAGGAGTGATGGATCATTTAAAATTTTCCAAAATGGGAGTCAAAAAGGAAAGCCATTACTTGTTCATGATGGATTTTCATATACTATCAAAAACCAAAGAAATAAATCAAGAATTTGGAGATGTAGTGGCAATAATAACAAACAAGATCAATGTCCTGGTAGTGTCAATGAGAATGATGGTAATTTTACTTTGGGTTCAAAATCACACAATCATTCTCCCAAATTAAATTTAAAAGAAATTATTGATATGAAAGTTATCATAAAACAAAGATCAGAAATGGACACTCAAACAAGTGCCAAGAGAATTGTTGAAGATACATTTATCCAAAAACAAAACATTTCTAATTTTCCCAGTATGAGTAGCTGTAAACAAGTGGTGAATTATCACAGATGAAAAAATCAACCAGAGGAACCAAAAACATTGTTTTTTCCTTTACATCACACTTTTTTACCAGATGGTTTTCTTAGAAATGATCTATCAGTAAACAATGAGCAAATTTTAATATTTGCAACTACTAAACAAATGGAATTACTAGCATTATCTAAAATATGGTATATTTATTATTTTATGGATGGCACCTTTAAGGTTGTCAATCCTCCATTTAAGCAATTATTTTCAATTCATAGCTTCCTAAAGAAGAATGGTGAACTAAAACAAGTTCCTCTGCTCTTTGCTCTACTTTCTTCTAAGAAAAGAAAAGCATACTCAACTTTATTCAAAGTAAATAATAAGTATATTTACATCTTAAAACTTATTAATAACATCTTGTTTATTCAGGCAGTAAAGGACTTAATTGGTGGTTACTCACCAAAAAAAATATGCTTAGATTATGAAAAGGCAATCTGGAAAAGTGTGGCAAAATATTTTCCAGAAACTGAAATCAAAGGTTGTCTATTTCATTGGACTCAAGCAATTTTTCAAAAAATTCAGGTAATAATTAAAATGTTTTATTGTCTTTTGCCATATTTTAATATATATTTTTATAGGAATTGGGATATTCATCTGACTACAAAAAACATACTGGACAGTGGACTGAAATGAAGCTTCTCATGGGTTTACCTTTTTTGCCTGCTGATATCATTCCCCAGGAATTTAACAAAATAAAAGCTCATTTAAATACCTTGGAAAAGTTATCAGATTTATTACATTATGTGGAAAACACTTGGATAATCAATGCTACTTGGACACCAGCTTGGTCAGTATTTGACTTAGCTATCAGAACTAATAATGATGTAGAAGGATTCCATAATAGATTAAACCTAAATATTGGAAATGCCAAATCTTTTTACAAATTAGTTAATGAATTAAAAAGGGAATCAGATCTGGTACCTCTGTTTCAAAAGATGCTGTGTGAAAGAAAATTAAAAAGATATCAGAAGAAAATTTATGTAAACCTACAAAGAAAAATATTTGAGACTTGGGATAAATTTAAGAATGGCCAAATTACTGCACTACAAATTATAGAAAATTGTTCTAAAGTCTATTTTCATAGTTGACTTAAATATATAATCAAATGTTTTTATTCTTTTCAATAAACCATATAATATTCATTAAACTACTTTCCATTTCCAATCTTTATAAAAATTCACTTGCAGCCTTTTTCAACCGGTCCCCAATAATTTATATACTCAACGCCTCTCTCTTTAATCTTTAATATTTACATAGAAAAATAATATGTTAAATTATCAAGAAAAGGGACTATTTTACTGTTGTTACTCAAAAGAAGATTTTTCAAAACATTTTACATCATGAACCAGGACATTGCTTTGTCTGTCAAACCTGTGCAGAATGTCCACACTCTTGCATTCCATTTTGGAACTCCTGAAACTTGGTGGAAGTTGTTCAACTTTTACCAGAACTCAGATCTTAGTGTCTAGTTAAACTTTTATTAAAAACTTAACCCTAACCCCCAACCCTATCCCTAAAGATCACTAACCACTCTTAATGAACAGAAAGACATGGATACCAGAGAAAATGTCTCACAGAATTAACTATTTTTCCCTAATCCCGACTCAGGAATATAAAAATAGATTAAAAAGCATAAGGTTAAGAAATACTATGAGATACTCTCTATCCAGTTCAACTGCTTTTTTCTTCCAATAAGAGAATAACATACTCAGCTTTATTCAGAGTAAGTGATAAATTTTTACACCTTAAAACTTATTAGTGACATCTTGTTTATTTAACAGTAAAGGAATTGACTGGAGTAACACAGCCTCCAATCAAATTCGTGCATGACTTTGCAATAAAATTATAAATAGCTGGTTTCTAAGGAAACTTAATTAAAAGGTTTACTTTGAAAAAAAAATACATAAATGACAGAAATAGCAATTAATGGCAATTTATAAGTAGTTTTTTCAACTCCTGCCTTGCCATCTAATTCCCAAGAATTGCACTTGTCTCCCTTACAGCATTTTACACACTCTATCTTTCCATCTGCAGACTTACAATATTCGTGTTCTGTTTCCGAAGTGCAAGTTTCATTTGAACAGCCTCTGGCATATTCTAATTTACTGAAACTTTCACTTCTATATGCCCAACAATCTCCAATGGAACAATTAACAATTCTCATTTTATCTGTATTGTTGTTGCTACTGGAAATTTCATCTCCACATTCAGCTTGATTTCCTTTACATTCATAACATTTTTCTAAAGAAATTACGCAATAACATATTATAATGAGTATAGACATGATATAGACTAGGACTACTCACGAGCACATTCCTTGTTATAATTCATCAAGTGGAAACCAGTTTTACATTCAGAGCAAATATTTCCATGAATGCACATGGAGCATTTAGTTATTGAACATGGTATGCACTCTTCTCCATCATCACTTAAAGAATAACCAGCAGTACATGAATTGCAAACAGCCTTTCTATTTAATGTTGTTGAACTACATGTTGCACAGTTGGCAAATACAGCAGATGAACAAGGCATGCATGTTCCATCAGTTTGAAGAGAAAATTCATTTGATGCACATTTAATACATATACCAATTCTATTGGAGTTTACAGCACATATTTCACAATTTGATGGACAATGAATACAAGTTCCATCAGATGCTTTACCATATCCTTTCAAGCATGTTTTACATTGATAGTTTCCATTGTGAGAGCATTCCTTGCAGAGATGTGGACATTTACCACAACTATCAGCATTTAAGTAATGTTGCTCTGAGCATTGTGTACAAACCATTGAAGATTTTCCAGATGGAATTTCACATGTTTGGCATTTATCTACATTGCATTGTTTACATGATCCTTGACTCAACCCATAGCTTGGTAGACAAGAAGTGCATTGAACACTTTCTCCAACTAGTGAACAAGAATTGCATCCAGTTGGACATAGCCTACAAATATTGTTGCTTGATATATAATATCGACTTTTACATGAAGGGCAAGAAAATCTATTTGTGTTTGTATCAAATGAACAACTGGAACATCCAATTGGACAAGTTCTACATTCACCATTTGATAAAACGGATATTGAAGTATTGCATGAAGTACAAACAGTTTTTTCACCCAACCTTTCTGATTTCTCACATCTTGGTTTATTTTGAAAACATTCTTTACTAATTGGATCATAGAAATAACCAAGATTACATTGTTCATCATCACATTTAGCAATTCCATTAACATTACATTTTTTACAATTTGGATCACATCCTGTAAAAATTTAAACACTCAAAAAATGGTGAATTCATTAACACAATACTTACTTTCACAAAAAGCAAGATTGGTGGATTTGTTTAATCTGAAACCAATTTTACATATTTGTGGTATAAGTATATTGGATGAAGCTGTTTGATATGAACATCTTGCTACTCCATCTCCAGTACAAGGCAGACAAGTTCCCTCAGTTCTGTGTCTAATAAAGCCTTCTTTGCAACCATCAGATATACAATACTGATCATTTAAACAAACAGGACAGTTTGCAATACAAGCTACACAGTTTCCATTGTTATCTTTATAATAACCTCGATGGCATTTCAAACATTTGAATATTCCATTGATTTGTTGTACACATACTTCACAATTGGCAATAGAACAAGAATTGCAACTGAAATCAGAATCTTTCAAAGCACCTAATCTGCATCCCAAAGAGAGGCATATAGCATTATTTTGATTTTCAGGATCAGCTCTGCATTCATCACAATTGTATGGGCATTGTATACATGTTCCAGCATTATTAAGTGCATAGCTTGATAAACATTCAGTGCACTTGTTAACTGTAGTTGGTGTTGAAGTTACATCAACAATACATGATTTACATCCAGCTTGGCATTGATGACATTTTGATATTGTTAAAGGGGAAGCAGGCTCAAGAGCCCAACCAGAAATGCATTCTATACATTCTGAAACAGCTGGGCTATTGTATTCTTTACAATTTGCAATGACCCCTGCTCCACCCTCACCATTTGTATTGTTTATGCATTGTGTTTTCCCATGTAACTGATAATTAACTAAACATTCTGAGCATGTACAAGCATCATTGATTAATCTGAAAACTTTACAGTTGGGAATTTGATCTGAAGAGCAACTAACACAACCATTTGAATTAGAATTCAACAAGGCATTACTTGAACATGTGCATACACATGTATTTCCTGAATTCTTTACTGCTGTTCCTCCAGTACATATTATATCATTTTGGCAATTAATACACTGTGAATTGCCAATCAGTTCATAAGTAGGTAAACATTCTGAGCATGTACAAGCATCATTGATTAATCCGAAAACTTTACAGTTTGGAATTTGATCTGAAGAGCAATTAACACAACCATTTGAATTAGAATTCAACAAGGCATTACTTGAACATGTGCATTCACACATATTTCCTGAATTCTTTACTACTGTTCCACCAGTACATATTATATCATTTTGGCAATTAATACACTGTGAATTGCCAATCAGTTCATAAGTAGGTAAACATTCTGAGCATGTACAAGCATCATTAATTAATCCGAAAACTTTACAGTTTGGAATTTGATCTGAAGAGCAACTAACACAACCATTTGAATTAGAATTCAACAAGGCATTACTTGAACATGTGCATACACACATATTTCCTGAATTCTTTACTGCTGTTCCACCAGTACATATTATATCATTTTGGCAATTAATACACTGTGAATTGCCAATCAGTTCATAAGTAGGTAAACATTCTGAGCATGTACAAGCATCATTAATTAATCCGAAAACTTTACAGTTGGGAATTTGATCTAAAGAACAGTTAACACAACCATTAGAGTTAGTGTTTAAAAATGAATTGTTTAAACATGTGCATTCACATGCATCTCGTGTCAAATTCAGCTTTGGTATTCCATTGTGACATGGTCCACAGGGAAGGCATGTTTGGCCATCTTTAGAAACTATTTTATCATTACTACATTCATTACAGACTGAAACATATACTCCTTCTGTTAGTTTTAGTGTGTATTCATTACAATCTGGTATATCTGCAATTTCTATACATCCTGAATCAACTGGATGTTTGAGAAAATGTTTATCTGCTGTATCAGTATAGCATCTCCCACAAATGCATTTTGAATTGAAAGCAATAGCAAATACACAATTTGGTAAATTTGATAGCTGGCATGAAATGCATGTATATTGATTTTCATTGGAAGTATCTAAAACGTATCCTGGTTCACAACCAGCACACCGTGCTGCATTAACAGAAAAAGTCTGTGATTTTGAAATATAGCCTTTACAGTAAAGTCCTCCTTGAAGTGATGATGGAACATAAATCATTTCAGTATCATTTTTTATATAATTCTTAGCAGGTACATTGCACTGAACTTTGTCCATATATTTTCCATTGAATCCTGGTTTACAATTGTCTATGCCAACACATCGGTGGTTTATTAGTGTGGCAGATTGATTACATCTGCTGCATCCAATACCTTCTGGAGTTGAGCTATGCATTAAACAATTTGGTAAAGGGCCTATTATATCATCTCTGACTGTACAACTTCCAACTCTTTGGCCACTTTTATATAATGCATTTTCTATTTTGTAATTGGAATTACAAGCTACACAGCTGCAAATTGCTACTATAAAGTTTTGTTCAACTACATTTAGTTTTTGTTCGCAAAAGTCTACAGTTTTGACATCACAAATATCAGGTGAAGATTTACAATCCCTACCAGATTTTCCATTTGAACATGCTATACAAAAGGGTTCACTATCCAAAAGAAAACATTCACTACAGCCAGGAGGACAGGGTTCACAACCAAGCTCAGATTTAAATGATCCAACTGCACAATCCAAACAATTAACTGTATCGGTAACATTCCATACTGTACAAAAGTCATCTATTTCTGAAAAATATAATTACTGCTTTAGCTAACAAATGGTTAATTATCTAAGATATATTAACTGAGACAAAAATCATCTTCTTTAGATTTAGCAAATCCAATTTGACAGCTTGAGACTTTTGGATATCCATTAGTGGAACCAGAACATTCAAAAGCATATGGAAACATTTCAGAGCATGCTATAATTGAATAAAGGCAGTTGAAAATGAGCCATTTTTAAAATAACCAAACTATTTACCTGAACACTTTTGAAAAGGTGTTGATGCTGAATTGGATTCCTGTAAAGCTGTAACTTTTCCAGAAACTGTTTGATCTCCCATGCATTCATTAACTTTACATCTACATTTATAATTTGGATGAGAACCAAATCTTTCAAATTTGTTACATTGAAGTCTTGCATTGGTGCAATCTGTTTTAATGATAGAAAATCAACTGCAAGTGGTTTTTAAACAAAGCTAAATTAGTACCATAGCATCCTCTAGAAGCTACACCTTCTACCTCAATATCAACCCACTGAGTATTTCCAATACATGTTCTACATTTAACATCTATCTCTTCGAAAGGCCAAAAACAATCAGCACAATTATACCCACAATCTCTGCATTGTCCAGAAAATGGGCCAAAAGGTATGAATATGCTTCCTGGAGGACATGGTGATGGTGGTGGTGGTGGTGGTGGAAACCTCCAGGCAAAAACTTCATCAGGGTGTGCCTCAATATACTCACTAGCAGTATCATGATCAAATGATGTACCATTAGTCCTTTCTAGAGAAAAAAATTCACTCTCATCAGTATCCGTACTAAAAGATACACTATTAATAGGAATATCTTCACAGGTTCCAGTTTCAAAAGAGAACTTCTTACTTGCAAAATTTTCACATGGTGATCTCATACATTTCACCTCATTAGATATTACCTCACAAAAGTCACAGTTTTCAATCGAACAAGCTACACAAAATTCAATATTATTTGATGAATTTCCATAATTAGGAGCAAACCCTTTACTACATTCAATGCAGGTTAGCCCAGTCGGCCTTTTCTTGCAGTGTTCACAACCATCTGGACAGGAAACGCAAATACCACTAATATCATCAAATGTATATTTATTCTGGCACATAGAAGCATAGCAAACTGGAGTTATTGCAGTATTTTTTTCAAAGTAGCATTTATCACAATTGTTAGGGCAAGCTATATGCATGGTTTAATAAACAATTAGTATTTGAAATAAAATCTGATATATGTAAACAAACCTGCACAAGTTCCATCACTCTTTCGTCCCCATGATCTTCCAGTCTCCTTTTCAATGCATGAATGAATAGCATTTGTTCCAGTACATTCAGTCCTCGAGTTGGCTGCATTCCAAGTGCACTCATTGCATTTATCAGGACACCTTGAACAGAGATTGTGTGAATTTCTTGTATATTTTGGTTTACATTTGTCAGCTTTACAGATGAGCTTGGAAGAAGAAACTTCACACTCTAAACAGTTATCAGGGCATTTGTCACATGCATTACTGGCAAGAACTGTATAATCAGCCATACACCTTGAACATTTTACAACATTGTTGGTTTCTAGACAAGTATGACAATTCCTTGGACAGGAAAAGCATGAATTATCTTTTATATAATAGCCAATCTTACATTTTGTACACTTATTAGTACCACTGCTTGCTTTACATTCTAAGCAGGAAGAGTGGATTGAACTGCATTTTGTACAGCTCTTAGATGAAGTCAGGACATAGGCTTTAGAGATGCATTCAGTACATGTATCTTTATTTGAACATTTGGCACAGCCAGCCATTGATGTAGAACATAGTTTACAAGTACTTTTATTATTATTAGTTTCTTTATAAGCATTGGTATCACAGGTGTTGCAAGTAATTCCAATGCCTTTAGTATATTTGCAGGATTTGCAGTATGATCCACAAGCTATATTTCAAAAAGTTTCAATTGAAACCACACATTTAATTGTATATCACTCAAGACCTAACCTACACAGTTCCTATTTTGAACAGTATATCCTTCATTGCAGATTTCACATAGTACATTAAGGGTGGTTACTAGCCAACTACATTTTTTACAATTTTGAGGGCATGCAATGCAATCTTGTGATTTGCTTCGTAAAGCAAAATTGGAAAAACAATCTTGACATTTGTCAATAGAATCACACTTTTTACAGCCAGGCAAGCATTCTAAAATAATTATTCAGTAAGTAAAAGTGAAATTTAAAATAGGCTTTAAAGAATTACTTTGGCAACTTCCTTCCTTCATAAAATAATTGTTGATACATTTTTCACAAATAGTTGCATCGGCAGGATTACTTGTATCCGCTTTTAGTTTACAGGATCCAATTGCACAATAATCGGGACATTCTAAACCAAAACATAAGTTTTCATATCTTTGTTTGTTTTCTTTTTTGATAAAATAATTAATTAACTAACTGTAGCAGCTTAATCGATCAATTGAATGAATTGTTCCACTTTGACAAATTCCACAAGATAGTATCTTATCAGTGGTTTGTCCAACTTGACAATTTAAAATTTGTTTTTTTGTTACTGTGGCTGAATCAGTAGCTGAAAAAAGTATTAACAGTAATAAGAAGATAAAAGATAAAGTAAGATTTTTGAGTATCACTTATCAAATTCAATGTGAAAAAGAAGAAGATTTTATAATCCATCTTGCGTCTTTTTCTGAAAAAATGGTTTGTTAATCTAGCTTCAATTTCTTTGCATGAGACAGTCAAAAACTTTGTAGTCCAAATGCAAAACACCAAGAAAACAAGATATATATATATATATAGTTTTAACCCACGTTTCATTTCCTGGGAACTATAGAGTGGGAGATTTCTTTTGAATAAAATAATTAATCATTCCCAGAATTCTATACTACTAAGATTTATGCTCATATCAGCTATACAATTATTAAACAACTATTTTTTGTTGATTCAGACTATTACTTATTACATATATCTCATATTATTATCAAAGAATTTTAAAGTTTTTTGTTTTGCTTATTTCTTGAATGAGTCATTGAACTCCAAACAATTTTTATTGGTATTGATCCAGTCAAAGCGCACTGACTGCCTTATTTATAGGCAACTATTGAACGATTAATGATTCACTGAAATATTTTTGTTGTCAATACAGTCTTTATTTATTATTTTATTAATTCTCACACTCACATCAGTTGTTGAATTTAAAATACTTTATACTGAAAACATTATTGGATTAGGGAATCTAACAAAAGTCAACATAATGATACAAGTTATGCAGAATGATTGTTGTAGAAGCAAGATACATTTATTGTGTTTATATAGTGATGCAAAAGCTATCATAAAGAAAAAGGGAAGGTGACAACTGGGATGAGAAAGTTTTTTAAAAAGAATTTCAGCAAATTTTGCATAATCTCATTATAGAATTTTTTTCCTAATGTCATGAATAAAACTTAATGTCTAGTTTTAGAAAGTAGAATGATTCTATCAGCATTAAAGACAAAATTATTTAGGATGGAAAACTTTCATCTAAGCCATACTATTTTTATAATACAGCAAATAAAAATATATTTTAGGAAGTAAACATTTCCCCTCCTTACATAGGAGTCAAAGTGGACATAACCCTGGATAAAGTGTTATTAACTTGCTTCATAGAAATGGTATAAATAATTAACTTGGAATTTTGATCATTCACATAGAGAATATATTTAAATATTTTTTTATACTGATCTAGAAAAGATAAATAAGAAACTCAAACCAAAAAAACATCTTATTTGCCTCTGACATCCAATCATCACTTTACAGTTGCCAAAATGTGTAGTTCATATTTATGTTTAGTAACAGGATGTTACAAAGTTCAATATTGAAGAAGGTTAATTGAATTATAACTTGTAGTATTTTCTTGCATAGGTTTGAAGAGGTACATGTATAAGTTGCATAAAGTAATATAGTTCAAGCATAAAATATAACCAAAGTTGTACAACAGAATGCCAAAAACACCTAATTGTCAGCATACATTTTGTGAAGAATGTTTAAAACAACTAGGTATTGTTTCGGATGATATTCAATGTTGTATATGCAAACAATTTTTGCCTCTGATATATGTTTATACTGTTCTATTTTAACTGACATAAAGGGAGATATTTCCTTCTCAATTTTTCCTTGAATTAGTTCTTCAAATGTCTCTTAACTTCCTGGTGTATATTCTTCCAATCTTGTTAGAGCAATAGTTCTATTTTTTCATCCTAGTACAAAGTTAATTGTAAATTTTTAATCCATTAAAGCCATGATCTATTTTGCTGTGCTGACATTTAGTTTTCTTTGCTTGAAAGTTTGTATCAGACTTTGATGGTCAGTATAAAAGAGAATGATTTGTCTTAAAGGTAATGCAAAAATTTCTTCACAACCGAATATACACCAAAAGCTTCTTTTTAGTAGGCTGCATATTTCATTCGATTACTATTGAATTGTTAAGATGCATAGGCAATGGATTTAATTGTTATTTCTTTTATCAAGATGAATTTTCAAACAGGCCAGTAAAATTTTGTAATGGAGACAAAGTATTCATAATCTATTTATTGCTTTAAAAAGATCTGTTTTTTGCGCTCATGCAAAGAAATTTATTCCAAAAACTCCATTTTCAAACCCTCAATTTTTCATTAAATGTGACCTCAAAATATTAGTATGCAATAGAAATAGAGATTTGTAAGTGTACTTTCCTGCTCTGAAGGGAGGATGAATATAGAACCAAGATATAAGAGTAATATAACTGTATTCTAAAGTGTAAGAGAACAGTAAGAGAAATGTAAACATATTTTTAGCTTCATTTCTTCTATTATCAAACAATTTTTCAACAAATTTCTAAAGCAAACATTTTGCTCTTTATTTAAATTACAACCAATAAAATTAATAATTTTCAATGCTTTTGAAGATTGATGAAGTCCATTGCATATGTTTTTTAACAGATTTCAGTTTTCATCTCGTCATTGCCCATCATTTCCCATATTTTTATTACCATTTAAATTAACTTTTTCAATGTTGTAACAATTTTTGAATAGGTTTGCTATTGATTTACATTGTTCTTCATCTAACATACAAAATTCAAAAGAATTGAATATTGCCTATCAGTGAAGTAACTATTGTACTGCTCTTGCTGGCAAAATCTATGCGTTTGCAAGTTATAACAATACTGGTTCTACTCGAACCTTTAAACAAATGTTTAAATTAAAATGGTTTATTCGCAATAATAATACTTAAGCAAGTAACAACATGAGAGCTCTAAAGCAGAGTACATAGTTCGTAAAAGCAGGTTGCCAAATTACCAAACTGTCTTCTAATGTTGAGGAGTAGATGGATGGTTCCAGTGGAGGTTGTTTCCAGATGATTTTCCCAGGTCCTTGGGTCCAGATGGAAGCTGCATGCCAAATGAGAATAGTGAGGATTTATATATAGTGAGGTTTGCCTCTGACATCCAATCATCACTTTACAGTTGCTGAAATGTGTAGTTCATATTTATGTTTAGTAACAGGATGTTACAAGGTTCAACATTTAGGAAGGTTATTTGAATTATAACTTGGCGACACCCTAGGCAAGTTAATTAAATTATAACTTGGCCAAACCTTTATTGGTAATTAAAGATGAGCCTTGAAGCTGACTAATCAGACTTATGTTTGGCCAATGTTATAGCATTTTCTTAGTTTGATGTTAACTAAAGCTACAACTTTGTTTCATTAGTTTTGGGTTTTCAGGAGAGTTATCTGTGCTCTCACTTGGGGTAGCAGTTTCTTCTCTTTGTTTTCTTCTTCCAATAATATAGTTGAAAATGATGATACATACCATTGAAACTACAATACTCAAACAAATATTACATATGATAACATAAAGTGTTTTCCCAGGTTTGTAGTACCAACTATGGAAAAACTGCTTAATTCCAGATAGATTGGGTACAATGCCATTTTTCTCTGCAACAGTGACCATGTTATCATACTTTGCCTGCTTCTGTTCCAGTGAACTGATGACTTGCTTAATTTTTGAGTGTTGGTATGCAATATCCTTCTTTACCCCATGGTGGAGTAGGTCAGCTAATCTGGCAATTTCAATTTTTGGTTCAGAAAGGTGATTGTGGATATTTAACTGCATGGATTTTGCAGACACAGTGTGAAATCTGCATCCTCTTTCTGAATAATACACATATGTTTTGTCTTTCATTGGTTGGTTTCTTATAGGATTTAATGGGTTGTGAGTTGTTTTGTAGAATAACTTGTTAGACTTACACTCATTATAGGTAATCTCTTCAGGATCGACTTGCTGTAAAACATGAGTAACTGGTTCTACTTGGAAAAGCAGGTTGTTCATGGTGATAAGTAAAAATTGAGAACATTTGTTATTCTTTTTTATCACACTTAAGTCACAAACTACTTCTGTTGAATCTATTGGTGAACATTGTTTAATTATAGCTAATTCTCCCATCTGACTACTGTGCATTCCCAACTCATTTGTTAACACTGTGGTCAATTGAGGATCCAAATTTGCCAGTAATGCCATCATCCTGCCTCTTTGAACAAATTGATTGCAGAGAACACTTGACAGCTGTTGGGTAAACTTTTTTAAGTTCTTAAAATTTGAATCAATACCATATAGTAAGGTAGATGTTTGGGCAGCTTCTCTCATTTCCAGTGGGAATTTATGGTATGGGTTTTTACTTATATTATGTTTCAGTTTTGCTTCCTTCTTCATCTGCTTTTTAGCCATTCACATGTGTAGAGTAAAATAAATTCCTTCATGGGTAATCTTAAATTCTCTGGCTGGTGGTCCTTTATACCATATGCCCAATGTTGGTAATACCTTCTGTTTGATTCTTTTCTCACTATATACATATTTTGAAATCATAATAGATTGTCTTGTTGCCCTTGTCCAATTGACTGCTTGCAGCATTTCTTGGATATAATAGTTATCCAGCTCCCAGTAAGATGGACTAATGGGTTGTTGTAGATGATATATCACAACTTCCTTGAGTGTGCCTTTATTTCTCATTAGTTTATACTTTGTGTTTGTTTCTCTATACCATTGGTTAAGACTTGGTAAGGGGTTGTTTTGCTTGTATAGTATAATTTGTTCTTTCACTTTATTGGGATAGTTTAATAGTCGTTTTTCTTCATTTTTTCCAATCTTTTGATATTGTAGCAAATTGTATAGGTGTTCCTTGCCTGTTTCCTGTATTAAACTCTGTTCCTCTAGTGGTACTAGCATTTTTGTTCCAGGGCCACCAATTCCATCCATGAATTTGTCTTGATAAGGGATGTCCAGAATAGAATACCCTGGACAAGAATAGTGACCAGCAAATTTTATACAACTAATTCTGTTGCTAATTTTTATCCATGGTGATTGTTGCCCAAGTGTGTAATTATTCTTGAGGTTTCTAAAGACAATAATTGCCTCTTCTGTTTCACAATAGGACTGCCCTGGTAAACAATCTTCCAGGTAGTCTAGATTAGTTGTAATTTTCATATTAGGAGGTTGCCAATATGCTTTGCCAAACTGGATAATTGTGGTGTATTCCAGCACCTTGGTAGTTGTTGGCCATGTGTAGGCAGCAGGAAACTGATCTTGGTGGATCCAAATGTTTCTTTTCACCATTAAAGGTTTTCCTTGAAAAGATCATTTGTCTTTTACCATCTGTTGCATTGA